CTCAATTCTAAATTTCCTCCACACTCTAATTCTAATTTCTCAATTTTAGAATTTTCTCCACTCTGTAATTCTAGTTTCCCAATTTTAAAATGTTCTCCACACTCTAATTCAAATTTTGCAATTTCAGAATTTTCTTCATTCTGTAATTCCAATTTTCCAATTCTACAATTTTCTCCACACTCTAATTCTAATTTCTGAATCCTAAAATTTTCTCCATTTTTTAATTCTAATTCCTCAATTCTAAAATTTTCTCCTCTCTGTAATTCTAATATTTTCATTCCTTAATTTTCAAGAAACAAGTTGAGTTACAGTAAGATATTTCCTTTCTATTTTTCTTTCTTTCGATTACTCTCACAAAAAACATTTAAATATTTAATATGCACTGTGTCTTTCGCACTTGATGTCGGCAGACACCTCAGCAGACTTCTTCGTCAGTTCCACATATGTCCACCGCTGTTGCCGTCCACATGATCTATTAATCATGCTCTAACATCACACGATCGATAGTGATAGTATTATGCATGGTTCACGCAGAACAGATTGACATCAAGCGTGAAAATTGCTATGTACGCTCATATTGAAGCGTTAAATTCAGTACACATGTTTGCATTTCAGCGTGAAAGTCACTATACACGTTTATATCTAAGCATAAAAATCACTATACGTGTCTGTATCTAATCTAAAATACTTGAAAGGTATGCATGTTTGAACCTAAATGCGAAAGTTACTATACATATTGGAATCGAAACATAAAACTCATTATATATGTTTGAATTTAAATGTGTATGTTACTATACATATTTGGACACAAACATGAAAGTCATTATACATATTTGAATTTAAATGTGAAAAACACTATGCAAGTTTGGATCAAAATATGAAAGTCGCTATATATATTCGAATCGAAACATGATACTCATTATATATGTTTGAATCTAAATATGAAAGTTACTATGCATATTTGGAGATAAGCATGAAAATCACTATACATGTTTGAATCTAGATATGACAGTCACTATGCATGTTTGGATCAAAATATGAAAGTCACTATACATATTGAAATCAAAACATGAAACTCATTATATACATTTCAATCTAAACGTGAAAGTTACTATACATATTTGAATCTAAACGTGAGAGTCACTACACATGTCTGAATCTAAACGTCAATGTCACCATACATATTTTATATTAACATAAACGTGTAGGTCAACGTACAGTTTTCAATGTAAGCGTGTATCACTATACAAGTTTCTATCCAAGCAAAAAAGTCACTATACATCTGTACTTTCGTCACAGACCAAGCTCCTTGCTCGTCCTGAGAAAATCCCACCGCCTTACTCCATTATTGAAGAAGCGTCTCATTCGTTTTTTATAAATGCACGCCGGGATGAAAAGTATAAAGGAGAAGGGTAACCGACAAACTTACAAAACTGTGCTGTGAAATGGATAATAAATTCAGCGCGGAAAGATCGATGGAAGAAAGAAAAAGGTAGATACGACGGTATAGAGCTCTTAAGCGAGCAAACAAGTCTAAAATAACATCTGAGCGTCCGTCAGAGGGATATGTATGTTCGTTCGAAGCGAATTCTTTAATGTATCTCTTCGGTACGAACCGTTCATTTAGCGTGCGCATAACTCAGAATGTTTGTCGTTGCTCTATGATTAGCTTCTGCTCGGAGGCGCACACGAGCGAGCGGGGTCCAAGACGAAAAGAGACGGTCGAGAGGAGAGAACGAAGGTTGGTAGTTGCACGTCATCCAAGAAAGATGCATCGTAGCGCTCACGGCGATGTTGAGAAGATCGAGAGAGTGAAGGCAATGCCACAGTCTGCCACCCTGGCGACACGGCTGGGTGCAGAGCTGAAAGCGAGAATTCTCCCGCAGCGTGGAGACGCGGCACTCGCTCCGCATAAATCATTCTGCTTCTGCTTGCAACAGGGAGGCGAAAATAGATGGAGCTCCCCTACTCCTTCTCCTCTTCTGTCGCATCCACCAACTCTCTCTTCTCCTTCTCTTTCCTTCTAACATCTACTATGTTTACCTTTGCATACAGGGTGAGTCTAGTAACGTTCACGACCTCGAGTAACACGAACTGACTCTTATTAACAGTTAAGTCTGGGGATCTGAGCTTGATTTTTTGGGGATTTTTAGGTGGTCCTTGTTTATCTTGTTTTGGTCAGAAAGGATGTTTGTCTTTCTATTTGGTAAACATTACTTCGTACTTCATGGATTTTTAAATTAAAAGGCTATATTTTGTTGTATTGCTTGTTTAGGGGTCTTTAGGCTAGTTAAGAGTCGAATAAAGCAAGATTTTACATTTTCACTCTAAAAATTGTTTGACTCTCAAGTCTGGGGACCGACTTACTGCGAGTATGATTTTTTGGGGATTTTTGGAACCTCTGACGGAAAATTTATATAGTCTTTAAACTAATTAATCTGTCGTACAACAAATGATTGCGTTAGACAAATACCCTGGTCAGCTATACAAGTAAAAATCCAGTATGGTCGAAGTCTATTGATATATGCAGTTGGTAGTTCTGAAAGGAGGCGATTTTTTATATATTTTACACTGCAATATCTTCTACAGAATGTAGAAATTTGATACATTGTATAACATCAAAGATATTATAAATTCTTTGAATAATTATTTACACATTCCATTATTGATCACTTACATCTTAAAGAAATTTCTAATAGCTACTAATGTTATTCCATCACAAACTTATTATAAAGAGACACAAGAGTTAATGAAACACAGTAAAAATAAAGTACAAATACTTCACAACAAGAAAAATAAAAATTCTTTCTCCTCGTTACATTCTATTCATTTATTTTGTAGGTAACTCAATGTGAAACGATAAGAAAAATGTCAGAGGTATTAAAGTAGTTCCTCGCGTGATAACACTTTGCATAATGTGCATTCGAATTTATTACGTGTAAAAGTAAAATTTACCATCAACTTCCATTAATTTGAAGAAATTAACTTTCTACATTTCTCGATTAACTTTTAAATGAACGTAAAAATTACAATATGTACAAATCTGACAACTCATTTCACAAGTTTCATATTTCAAACGAAAGTTTCGAAAGAGAGTGTACCCTGGTAAAAATTGAACTAAAATTAAAATTTATTTATTCAGTCTGTGTCAATTATTTTTATACGTTCGAGATTGTTTACGATGCGATAAGTTAGAACTTATTAAAGATGTTTTTAAGTTAGAGATATTTTACTGAAGAACATGTATAACGCTGAACGTAAGAAGTATGCATACATAGGTGTTTGTTTATATCAAAAGATGTAAAGTAAAATAAAAAATATAACTGCGACCTCCAAATCTACTTTCAACTTCAAGGAAAATTCTACACAGAAATAAGCGATGGTTGTAAAATATTTGGTATCGAACTTGTCAACATTTCTCCGAAAACTTTTCACGAAGCTTTGTAATGGCGGACCCTTAAACCCCGAAATACCGGAAGGTCGTACTTTGCCCACCAACCGTGCACTTGCCAAAAAACCTTGTTGCAATCGTGTGCTTCGTTCGGTTCCGAAGAAGTAGCCTCACGAAAATGGATATCGAACCTCGAGGTCGCAGTTTTGCGCGACCTTTAGTTGGATGTCCCGTGGTGTGGGCCGGATACCTGGTCGAGGAAGTCACGGAAATATGTGGGAGGTCTTTATTCAAGAAGAGAGAAGAAGAAAAAGAAACGGACTCGTGTATACTGAAATTGCAGTGTACAAAACACGCTTTCCCCGGCATTCCATGTTCTTGCTTCCAAATTTTAATCATTTTTGATATTTGGAGATGTTCCTGAGAAGTTTTTGGTTTTCAAGAAATTTCATTTGACTTAACCTCAATTTTATTTAGTAATTTAGCCTATATTTTATTTAGTAACTTAACGTAAATTTCATTTAATAATTTAACCTAGATTTTATTTAATAACTTAACCTAAATTTCATTAAATAATTTAATCTAAATTACACTTAATAACATAACCTAAATTCCATTTAATAGCCTAACACAAATTTCATTTAACAAATAAACCTAAATGTTATTTAATAACCTAACATAAATTTTATTTGACAGTCTTGAAAGTCTTGAAATGTTAGTAATTCTTGGAAACCAAGATTATATTTCAATAAATGTAAAGAAGTAAACATTCTAGATATAATACCTTTCACGTGAAATAAATGAACGACTTGGCAATTTTGGAACTTCAAAGTTGTTAAACTTGGGGATTTGAAAAATGTAGATATTATACAAGAAACTTTGAAAATTTGAAGATTTGAGAACTTAAGAATTTGGTCATTTAAGAAATTTAGAAATTTGAAATTTATGAAAAATCAGGTATCTGAACATTTGGAGACTCGAAAACTTGAAAGTTTCTAAATTAAAAAATTTATAAATTGAGAGACAATAGTTTGAAACTTCGGTAACGAAAATTTCAAACTATACGAATTAAAAAATTTAGAAATTCAAATGATCCAGAAAAACGTTGCACTCGAATACAGCAAGGAAACTTCCTGAGGGAAAATAGCGACGTAGTACACGTTAGGTATACTGGTGCAATAAAATGATGATGAGGTTGCATTGAAAAAGGATAAAGGCCCAGGGACAGAGAGAGACCGTAGCATATTGTTAGACGTTAATAAATCATCCCGCACGTTCGAAGCGATCGGTAATAAATCGTTAGCCACGAGCCAAAGGGAAGCCACACGATTTTGTCACTTCGTTTGAGCGCGATTGAAAGGATGTGGATGAAAAACGGTGACGGTGACAAGAGATCGAGAAAAATCAATTCATACCTGGTTAGTTTTCTCGAACGAGGCACAATCTAGGAGCGTTGCGTTTCGCTTGTTTCCAAGGCTTATTTTCTTTGTGTTTCGGGACCGTAAGCTGTTTCCTTTCTAGCAGAATGCTTGCTGGGCTCTCTATCCCCAACGTTCACGCTGAGCGAAGCGTGGTGCGTCATAAATCTTCGCCCTCTTTTTACGTGTTTGACCCCCGAGCAACTATACCATTATTAGACGCAGCTTTCAACTTTATCCCACTAAGAATTTTACGAAACCACACCGTAACTAAGCCTCCATACTTCACTTTGCGTCTTTCGCTTTCTGACGTTTATTGACCGGCTACGAGTTCAGCCCCTCCGAAATCCTAGTTTTCTTTCCGAAAACGCATCGAATTTATCGCCTTGTGTCAGCAGCTTCCATGTTTCACGTTTCCGTTGCCGTGTCGAGTTTCTCCAACTTGTGCCTTTGAAATTTAAACCGTGTCACACAGAAATTAGCGATCAATTTAAGGAAATTTTCCGGGGGGGTTTGAAATGTGTCGCTTGGAAGATTACGGGCAAATTATCGCCTAACAACTAATTTTCTACAAGAAATGATTTTTTTCTTATTTTGGGTGCTTTAAATATTTTAGTGTTTTTTAAAATACTTTTTGCATAATTGAACTACATGATATGACCTTTTTTAGTAAATGCAAGAATTAATTTATCAGATAAAACTTTATGGTTTGATGACATTACAGTTAATGAAAGTAGTGAAGAAAAAATTGTTACTTTTCACAATTTTTTATCTGAGTCATGAATTTTTGAGAAAATTTGAACATTTCTGAACGCTCAAAATTGAACATTTATAAAAATGTTTGTTTACAGTTAACAAATATTCTATATCAATAAATGCAATTATTAATATCAGTAAGACTATAGTTATAATCATTCATGTTTATTAGTGTCACTAAAAGGTTATCTTCATTACTTACCATATAATACATATTGTTACTGATGTGTGTTATTATCGTCGACTAAATTACGTCAATAATACTATGAAGGATAACTGATAAACTTTACTGGTAATGGGTGGATTTATTTAATAATATCAATCAATGAAAGAGTTACATGTTTTATTTTCTTGTGTGCTAAACACATTTTTTACGATTAATTAAAAACTGTTTAAGTTTCTTTGAAAATAAAGCTGCAGACAAATTTTGTTGGTTATTTTTGACCTACCTTTTTATGTAAATTCTCTCCCTTTTCGGTTATACAAGATCTGAAACAGCATATGTTATTGCACGCAGTTTTACAATTTAACATGAAAGTAAATTAGAATTCAAGTAAAACTTCTATATTCTCCACTGTATGTTTTCCTATTCTTATTACGTGTTAAGATGACCTCATTTAACGCTTTGTTTTCTGAGAAGTTATCTCGAGTGTTAAGCTGGTATTACTGTGCTGTTTAAGTGTATTATCAGTTAGTATTCCTCATAACACTTGAAATCCATTCATAACATGATGGATTTGGTTGGAAATGTGATAAGTATCTAATACACGCACACAGAAGTAAAAACATGAGGGATACTGACTAATAAAACGTCTTATAACATTGATTGATTGTTGAATTAATGAGAAAATGATTAATATTATGATTTTTCCACTGTAAACAAATATTTAACAATATTTCCACTACTCGCTACTAGGAATATTTTGTATCAATGAAACATTTGCTTTACTTGGAAATATTTAGTACATTCAGAAGTTAAAATTTAATTTAATATTGTATATTATTGGGTGCAATATAACATTCTTCGACAGACAAGAATTTCATTTGTTTATTTTAATTATATAGGAAAATGAAACTAGTTTAGAAAGAAATTTCATTTTTTTTTAGGGAGAAATAAATTAATATTGTTTCTTCAGCTTAATTTCAAGTAAAATAATATTTGCCGAAATATTTGTTATCTTAATTAAACAAAATAAAGTGGACATTAGATGGTTTCGAAGAATACAGATTACATTTTATCCAATTCACTCTATGTGTTACATGTAGTGGGAGAAAAATCGTGAGTAGCTTTACAGGTAACACCCTGTGTATTACGCAGTATTCATTAATTTAAAACCGTGTAAAAATTGAAATTAGCATGATCGATATTTATTTGATAAATTGCCTTATTATTCATTTAATCGCTGCGACAATGTAATTCGATAATAAATACAAGCTTAAAATAATTTACAACGAATACGTGTAAGTACATCGTTTCGAATAAAAGTGTCATGGAAAATCTGTGGTATAAAGT